GCAAAGGCCACAATCTGCAGAATACTATGCAATAAATGAAAGTGCAAAGTTTTCTTCCATATCTCTGGAAACATCTACAACTTAGCACATTTTTTGCTGGACGTCTGAAAAAATGCTTCTGGAGTTGTGAACTGCATGAACTTCATTTTCTTAATATCATAAAACGTAATGAAAGTATTAGTGTCTAGAGGAGCAAACGGATCTAGCGTTTTCTTCCCTCTTCTTGGAAAACATAATTGCATACTAAAAACAATGGTGTTCCCTATAGTAACCTATGAATGTCAGAGCTGGACCATAAGGAAGGCTGAGCAAAGGAAGATGGACGCTTTTGAACTGTGATATTGGAGGAACATTCTGAGTGCCTTGGACTGCAAGATGATCAAACCAGTTCATACTCCAGGAAATAATGCTCAACAGCTCATTGGAGGGAAGAATATTAGAAGCAAAGATGAAGTACTTTGGCCACATAATGAGGAAAGCTTGGAGATGATATTGATGCTGGGAAAAAGGGAAGGAAGAGGAAGAGGGGCCAACCAAGGTCAAGATGGATGGATGGATGGTGTCTTTGAAGTGACTGGCATGACCTTGAAGGAGCTAGGGGTGGTGACAGCCGATAGGGAACTCTGGCATGGGCTGGTCCATGAGGTTGGTCACAAAGAGTCTGAAGCGACTGAATGAATAAACAACAGCTTGGATAACTATAGTGTCTTGTGGAAGCATTCACACCACCTCCACCTTTTGATTTTTCCATATATTGTTGTATCATAACCTAAGATTGATAACAGTTTCATTGGTATTGCTACTACTTGATACATTGTTACCAGTTTATTTGTACAAGACACCAAATACTGTAAAAGTGACCTCATAAGTTGACCTCATGTATAAGTCAAGGGCAGGTTTTAGGGCCAGAATTATGAGTTTTGGGATGATGCATCAAAGGTCATTTAATTTTGGTAGTCATTCTGCTCAAGGCAGAGTCACAACTTAAACCATATTCTATTTTGTAATTCTAAATTAATAATGCTTCAGAGGAAGTTCATAGTTCAGATTTTTAAAAACCAAACCAGATTGATACAACATTTTTCCTTGAATTGTTTTGATAGGTCTTGGTCTTCTTGATGCTGTTCAGATATATTCTTCAGCAAACTCTGGGACCTTCCACAAACAGGTGTCTTAAATCTAAATTGCTGTTGCACTAAAGTTGCAGACAGGTGGAAGAACTCTCATTCTTCTTCTCTTTATACAGTATAACACTATCAAAGTACAGGGCATTTTACAAGTAAATGAAAAAAACAATTCCCTGTCCTCGGCCTTATAAACTTCTGGAGGTGGTAGGTTATGGCAGTAGCCAGAGCTTATTTCGGCATGTCATAGCAAAGGAGGTGAATACTTCCACTAGTAACAATAGTTAATTACAAATAACATGTTTGCTTGTTGATCACATGCAGGAGAAAAAAACCAAGACAACTGCTAGCCCATCCGAAGTTGCAAGGAGACCTGAATCTCCCAGCAGTCTTGGGTAAACAAACATGCAACTAAGTTAAAATACTTGATGTAGGACTTGGGAGCCCTCTTGTGGTCTAAGCTACTTAATGGCCTTGTTTTCAGTATCTCTCAAATAAGAGTAGGCATATTTCCTCCCTGCTTGTAAAGTGTGGAAATTTTTCACTTGACTGTTAGTACTGTGTCACCACATGGTCTATCCTTACTTGCGTATTCTGTAGCAATTGTCCATGTCTCTGATTTTACTAGTTTTTTTTCTAGCTCAACATTTAATTCTGTCCTTTAGTATTAGAGTACTATTAATACTTATTGGAGAAATATTTTGTGTTGAGTATTAAGAGATACATATAAATAGTTTTTTAATCTGGCTCAGGAGTAAACATTAGAAACATCCTACATATTGCTGGACTGTATTTATTTATTTATTTATTTATTTACTGTATTTGGACTGTGGCTCCCATAATTACAGTACTGGCAGAGGTTGATGCAAGACACAATATACTACTATGGGGTCAAAACTGTCCACACTTATGCCAGACAGGCATCATATAACATATATAATACTTCCAGATTCAGTTCTGAAAACTGTATGGATATAGTAGAAGTTAATCTTCATGCTTTAGTTGATCAAGGACTAATAAAGGAGGAAACCTTGGATAATTACAGTGTATGCCAGGAGCAGTATTAATAAAGGATGCATTTCCCAGGGTAGTTTCAGTTCAGCACATCTTGATAAAATACTTGTACTACCTAATTATTATTTGCATGTATGAACTCATGCCTACTCCCATAGGCCTAGCCAATTAAAATAGTACAATTAAGAAGACATCTGAATTTGAATTTTCAAACTCTCACCAGAATACTACCCCAAGTTAAATACCACAGCTAAAAATGTTGAATGTTATACTTTGTCATTTTTAAATCTTTTGTAATATAGGCAAACATGTTTCTATTGTATGAGAAATTCATAGTTGCAAAAAATGAAGAGTTAAACTCTTTCGACAGTCATGCTCCCCGTATTCTGTCTAGAGGTAATGGCAGGGAAATCATGACCTTTCATATTACCTGCTGTTTGGAATATCTGCAGACCTCTTACTTCCCAAGACTTAATGCAAACACTGGTATCAACCTAATGTCCCTACCCCCATAATTTGCTTGAAAATTGGCAGTCTTGTGGTCAATGTGACTACCTTGATTGTTTTTAAAATAAATCAGAATGCCCAAGTTGGGACATCAGTTTTTTGCAAGAATAGTGTGCGGTTGTTGCTTTCTACTGTCAGGTTGGCTGCATTTTATGTCACCCCTATGACTGAGAGATACTCATTTCACCCTGTCATCAATAATTCTACTCAGATCTCACAGAGAGTGCTGTGTCATCCTTGATTGAGTCCATCCAAAATGTAGTTGTCATCTTCTAGTACTACTGCCTTCTACCTTGCCAAGCAACGGTTGTCTTTTCTACTGAGTCATGTCTTCTCAGGATAAAGCAAAAGTGCAATAACCTCAGTTTAGTCATCTTGGTTTTGAGAGATAGTTAGGGTTCGAATCCATTTATTTGTTGTTGTTTTTCCCTGCGGGTTGTGGTTTCCACAGAACAACCTTTCATTAACACATTTCAAAGGAGTTTATTAATCAATTTGATTCATTCTCCAGCTTTCAGAAACTGACATACCAATATACAGTTTTTGCTCTGTATTGTGTTCCTGTGTTCTCTCACTATGTGCTCCTTTATGCATGTGTGTCTGGGGCTTCGAGAAATTAATCAGAGAAGAAATGTAAGTGGCATGGAGAACAGAAAGGAAAATACAAAGCCTCCCTGAGCAACTTCAGAGACTGTGATTATAGGAATTGCCATCTCCTTTGATTGGCTTCTCCCATCAGTGGAGATAGAGGGTTGGATCCTGATCTGATCTGTTTGTTTACATTAAATTTGTACATAGTTTGTACATAGTTTAGTGGTACTTATTTCTAAACAGAGAACCACCATGATGAACTCAGACTCTGAGAAACTTGGGTTCAAATTTCTGCACAGCTTTGGAAATCTTTGAGGTTATTTGGGGTAACTTACATTCTTTCAGACTTAACAGGGAATTCTTCAGATGGAATTGTGTTAAGAAAACTCTATGATAGGGTTGCCACATATCTGAATTGACATTAAGGCATATAAAGCACAACCAGCTTCCAAACAATTATGGATAGGATTGTCCATCAAGGCGAACAACAGGACATCTAGGATTTTTGTTTTTGATCATATACCTTCTCAGTCTTTGTTTCCTCTTGGAGGGGCAGATTGGGCGCTTATTCATGTTCTTTCCATTGGCATGGATGGCAATGGGAAAAACCTTTCTTATTTGCATAAAGTCATTGACTGTTCACTGCATTGTTGCAGAAAGTACTTTTAATGGGAGGAGTTGTGAAGTCCTTTTGTCTTCATTACTATAGTCACATTTTGGTACATTTTTAAAAATATGAATACAGGTTGAGCATCCCTAGTCTTGAATTCCAAAATCTGAAATACTCCAAAATAATCCCCATGTATGCCTTTGTTTTCTGATTATTTAATATGCACAAACTTTGTTTCATGCACAAAATACTTTCAGGCTATCCCTATATGAAACATAAATGAATTTCATATGCATGTATGTCCACACGTGTATATGAAACATAAATGAATTTCATATGTATGTATGTTCACAGGTGTTCAAAAACCTGAACTCTAAAGCACTTCTGCTCATAAATATTTTGGAAAAAGGATACTCAACATGTACTTAGTTCATTTTAGAGTGTTTTTCAAAGTGTAAATTGTTAGCTGTATTTCATTTTAACTGGTGCTTGTAAACTGTTTAGATTCCAAACTGAAAGAAGAGCAGGGTGTGAATAAATAAAAATAGTTTGTCTGAATTGGGTAATCAACAATACCATATAATGACGGAAAAGCAGCCTACAAACAAATGTAGTTCTCCATGTCATTACTGTACATTAGTGCTCCCCATACCATTATTTAGAGTCAATATTGTGTAGTGGTTTGAACTGTGGTCTAAACTCTGGAGAACCGGGTGAGATCTGACCAAGAAAACCCTATGACAGGTTTGTCTTAGAGTCATTGTAAGCAGGAAATAACTTGAAGGCATACAACTACATCACTATTATTTGCCTACGATACTATCAGCATACATGGTTCCTAATGCGTATCAGATTTAATTCATAAATTTAATGAAACTGGCAGTGTGAAAAATGGTTTGAGTATAAACTAAATTTAATCACCCATTCTATTTCTATTTTTCATTTCTCCCCCAGTGGATCATCTTGCTACTTGATATACTGTACAGTACATTAAATTCAGTGGTGAATTGATTACCTATTGTCTAGATTCCAGCTTGCCTACTATGGCATTGGCCCAGGTTTATTGTAAGATGTTGCTACATGAGTCAGCATTTTATTCTACAGTGCATGCAAAAGCCAATCATATTCACTACTTTCTGTCCCTTCTCCTTTAGGCTTCATTAGTCTGCCAGCGCTGATCCAACAGGATGATTTGGATACTTCAGCTGTTGTTTTCACCGCTCCCAACCCCTGCTTTGATTGGTCTTATTACTTTTGGAACAACCGTCTTCCTATGGCTGATAACCAAACCAAAACCAATTTCACCCCCGGTTGACTTGAACAAGCAGTCTATTGGCACAGAGGTAAAAGCAAAATCATTAAATGCGTACACTATTAACAAAAAAAAGGAAACTATGAGTTCAGATGTATGAGTTGTTGAGTTTGTTCATCATTATGTATATGCTAATTATGCTTCCACTGGTGTGGTCTTAATTTCTTCTAGAATCTCAGAAAGGGATAAGAAAAGGTTGATCCGAAATTGAGAAGATGTCATTAATAAGACCATTACTAGCTGCTTTTACCTTTATAGATTGACATTGAAGTTTTCATTTTCTCAGTGTAAAGGAAAGAGCAGCATGAGCAAAGGTTATGGTGAAAAAAAGCTTGAATGTAGACTGCTCCATATTCAGATGTCAATCTCAATTTCCACATGTAGGGAGGAGCTAGAAGAAGTGCACTTGTACCTGAAGGCAAACTTCTTTCCTACTACTTTGAGGATGCAAAGACTTCGTATGAAGCTTTCCGTAGAGGACGTTATGTATCAGGTAAGCAATTATTTTTTATATATATATATATATATATATATATATATATATATATATATATTTGAAACACAACAAGATGAGTCCACAGCAGACATTCTGCTGGCTGTTGTATTAGATCACACGTCGGACACTTCCCAAGTGTCTAGGACTGTGTGATGTATCTGTGAATAATGCATGCAGATCCCAGTAAGGTGGCCTTTTGCAGCTGGCAGATGGTATTTATTTATTTATTTATTTATTTATTTATTTATATCCTGCTTTTTCTCTCCATACGCAGCTCACAACTATTCAACTTAAAATATACAAATATTGAAACTGTATTAGACAACATTAGTATGAAAATAATCCAGTTTAAAACCATAAAATCATATAAAATTGCATCACAAAATCACAGCAGCCCTTGATGGTCTTTGAGACCTTCGCGAAACCAAAGGCACGTGGTTTATCAGCATTTCAGTAGTAGACTTCATGCCAAATGTAGGTATTGGGGAGACAGAGATGCACTTCTGAGCTGTGTGTTAGGGAAGCTATGCACAAAAGGGCAAAGACAGCAATGTTTCTTTCCAGCCACGTATAATGAATAAAATATCTTCACAGTGAGCCATTATGTGGTGGTTTTGACATGACCAACTTATTCTGTGTACAGAAATTGCTAACTATGTGCCTCTCAAACAACTTGTTTTAAAATGGAGCCACTGAAATCTAAAATGGATCCTTTCCTGTTCATTTTAGGCCTCCTTATACATCTGACCAACTATTAAGAAACTGGAAGTTTCATTCAATTTCTGGAACATGAAACTTGAGAGTGAATGATAAGATATGACCTGTCTATTATGACCTCTTTCACACCACATAATTATAGCACTTTGATATTACCATATGTACACATGTATTAGTCTAGAAATTTTAGTCAAGACAGAATCCGGGGAGAGGCGGATGAGCTCCTTCCATCAGCTCCAGTTCCTCATGCGGGGACATGAGAGAAGCCTCCCACAAGGATGATAAAAACATCAAATCATCCAGCCATCCCCTGGGCAACGTCCTTGCAGACAGCCAATTCTCTCACACCAGAAGCGATTTGCAGTTTCTCAAGTTGCTCCTGACACGACAAAAAGAAAAATCACTGCATAAAACCTGGTTCGAGTAATCCACAAGTCAATGTGAATATTGTAACTTAACTCTTATATTTTAAAAGAGACGACCCCTTCTCTGAGTAGAGGGGCAAAAGGTCAGAGCATAGTTTGTCCCTGAAGAACCCAAAAGCACTGATACAGTCTATTGTCCCCTAAAACTGATCACAGTAGCTCTCTTGAGTCCTTGCACATATATAAATAAGTACATTGAGCCTTCCACACTTGCTCATGTTAGGGACAAAGAAGCCTGTGAAGTGGGGGAAAATGTGAAGGGTCAACAATAAATATATCTCGTGAGCCAGATGTATTTATTGTTTTCTAAATCATTTGTAGTTTGGCCTTAAATAGCAACTACTGACACTGTTTTGATGAGTTGCATGCCATGTTTCTTTTAAGATGATTAATCTCAATATCTTTTGCAGAAAATGGTCCTTGCTTGGGATACAGAAAACCAAGGCAACCATATCAGTGGCTCTCTTATCAGCAGGTTGGTAATAAAAGAGTTTGGGTCAAATAATCCAAAAATTCTCAAACACAGAAACTGACTACTTTTTCTTTTTTATAGGTTCTGGACAGAGCTGAATACTTAGGATCTGGTCTAATACACAAAGGTTGTAAAGCTTCATCAGATCATTTCATTGGTATCTTTGCTCAGAACAGGCCAGAGGTAACTAATGCAGATTACTGTTCAGGTTGTACCTATAATAAGTGCTTGAATTTGCTACAAAATGTGAGAACGGCTAAATCTGTCCATAGTAGGCCCATGTAGCATTATTTTATGTACTATATTTGCCTGGTCTTTTGTTAAGGAGAAATATCTGAATGTGTCTGGCATTCTATCTATATAGTTTGAATTAGTGTGTGATGGGCTAAGCATTCTTTAATGTAAACTGGACATTTAGTTGTTTTTCCCTCTTTTGCTCTTATAGAAATTCCTATAGGTAGTATTTAAAGTTTACAAGTTCAAGTACTCCAATGTAGAACATGATCTTGAAGTCCAATGGGGCAAGTTGCTAATGTATGCTTGATATTAAATATATTAGCATAAATGTGGAATTAATTTTTCATTTCTCTCATAGTGGGTCATATCTGAGCTTGCTTGCTATACTTATTCTATGGTGGCAGTTCCCCTTTATGACACGCTGGGCCCAGAAGCAATTGTATACATTATTAATAAAGGTAAGCATTTTTGTCACTCTATGAGTGAGAATGCTTTCTTATCTTGACTAGTGACTATTAGAAGTGAATTCCAAGTTGTCCTCTCAGCTGTAGAAATGGGTAACCTTTCTCTTTAATTCTGAATTCTTTTTTCCTTAAGTCAGAACTTGATTAACCTTTCGTCACTGTTTCTGTAGTCTCCATAACAGTGGGAACATGATGTTTGGGGCAAAATTGGTGAATGGAAGCCCTCACTGGTGTTTTAATTCCATTTGATGGCTCAGTTTAATGAAACGATATTACTTTGAAATTATGAAAATTGTGCAGTCAAAGATTTTGCATGACAAGAGAACTGTCAGTTCTTAGAAGCAGATTGTCATAAATTTAATGAAGCTGGCAGTGTAAAAAATTGAGATTTCATTACCTGTTCTATTTCTATTGTTAAATGACCCCTAATGATTTTTCAGGAGATGAAAATTAGTTAGGAGTAATCCTAAGAGTATAGCTTGTCAAAACTAAGTGTACAGGAGAATTGATCTCTTGGGATAGCAATGGGCTTCCTGTACTAGTCTGGACATTTTCTCTTGTGCACAATTTGCAATTGTAGCAGGTAAGGCCCAAACAATAGAAATGTATGTCATGCTACCCTAATACTCTTTTCTTAAGTTAACTAAAGATGCTTAGAAACTGCAAGTGAAAGAGGGAGGTGCATAGCGTCTTAGCCCACTCTGTGCATTGAAACTCTGGTCATAGAGTTTGCTCTTAAACATAACCTGGTGTAAACACAATAGTTGGCTATGGATGAAACATGCCACTTCTATAGTTTAAATAATTCCCACTTATCAGCATTTGTAGTTAAAATTGACATTGGGCATTTAAATTGAGCTTATTTAACTGTAACTGTTCTTGTTAGTTCTGGCATACTTAACTATATGCCAGGGTGGGAATCATGTAGCTCTCCACCTATTGTTAGGCTACACCTCTTGGCATTCCTCATCCTTGGCTATATTCATTATATTGGGTTGGAGTAGTTGTCCTGACAACATCTGGAGGGCTACACAGTTTTCATCTCTTGATATAGGCCACTATTGTCTCTAAAGCAAAAGTGAGATACCTGTGATCTTTCAAAATGTGTTGATTAATGAAGTCCAACAACACTTGGTTCCCATCTGAGCTCTAAAGGACAATTATGAGATGTGCACTCCTGATAGTGAATTTAAGAGGAATATCAAGTTTTTGTGATTTATGATCAAAACACATCCATGTCTTGATTTTGTGTATCACTCACATGGGTTAGTGACTCACATGAGTGCTAGTAAGTAAACTATCTCTCTGACTTTCTAGTTACTGAAATGACCCCCCCCCCCCAAATATTAGTCAAATATCTTCTATTATTTTGGAAGAACTCAAGACTTGACATACTGGTATGAGAACTAGGATCTCTTTAAAATGGTTATTGAAACTAGAGCCATTGAGTGGAAGCACATATAAGATTTGTTTATTGTGTTTTCTGTTTGGACATATGTGTCAAGGATAGGGGTCTCCTCACCAAATTAAAGCTCTGCTTAAATATCATATGTGTAACTTGGTTTCCTTGGAAAAAATGTAGGATTTGAATTGTGACATGTGTTTTTACAGCTGACATATCTACAGTGATCTGTGACAAACCAGAGAAGGCACAGGTGGTACTTGAGAACTGTGAACTAAAGAAGACTCCAGGACTGAAGATAATTATTCTGATGGATCCTTTTGAAGAGAAACTGAAAGAAACAGGAGCTAAAGTGGGAGTTGAAGTTATTTCATTGAAAGATATGGAGGTACTGCATCATGTTGGAGACTGAGTCTATTCCTTCTAGAAACTCTTCTAATAAAACAGTTTGGGGTAGTGCAATTTGTTTACATGTAGCCTCCGAGTTACAAACATTTGCATTACAAATCTGTATATATAAAAATATAATGTTCGTTTGTGAGATTAACATAACTCAAAAATCACTGGACGAATTGACACAAAATTTGGACACTATACTCCTAACAGAGTGACCAACACTCATAACCCCCCCCCCAAAAAAAACAGTAGAAAGGACTTAAAAACAAAAAAAGCTAAATGACAAAAAGCTAAATGATGATAAAGAAAAAAGGGAAGGAAGGAAGGAAGGAAGGAAGGAAGGAAGGAAGGAAGGAAGGAAGGAAGGAAGGAAGGAAGGAAGGAAAGATGGAAGCAAAGAGCAAAGGAAGGAAGGGAAGAGGTAGAGAAAGAAGAAAGGGGAGGAAAAAAGAAGGAAAAGAAAAAGGGGAAAGGAAGGAAAGAGGTAGAGAAGGAAGGAAAGAAGAAAAGGGAAGGAAGGAAAGAGGGAGCAAAGGGAGGGAAAGAAGGAGAGAAAGAGGGAGGGAAGGTTGGCCACAGCAACATGTGGCAGGTACAGCTAGTGACTCATAATTATGAATGGGAATGAGACAACAGGTAGTGAGAGAAATCTACCCCTCAGAAGGGAAATATGCTCCCGAAAGAGTTATCATGGGGAAAAGTTGTCTGTACTGAGGCTTTATCACCAATCCTTGTTTCCACAGCAAGCCATTTTTTTCAGAATCCAATTATCATTGCGACAGAATGGGAGGTGAAATTTTCTGAACAAGGGCACAGAGAGCAAAACAAACACCACAGGGGTATTAACCCTTTCCTATGCTATCCAAAGTGCGCATGTACACACATACAAACATATATAATTGGAGTTACACTTAAAAATGTTCCTGTTTCAACTTATATGCAAACCTACAGAACCTATCTTGTTCATAACTTGTGGACTGCCTGTATTTAATTTGTATCCCACCAGTTTCCCATCATACATTTAATGACCAGCTTTGAATACAGGGCTGTTCGTAGACTTCCAGGTGCACCTAGAAATTCACATTGAAACAAATCATGTAGGAAATACTAAGAAACTTTTTGGGTGACCTCCATAACCTTCAAGTGTCTGGATACGTTGGACAACAATTCCCCCATTCCAAGCTGGAGTGCTTGGGGGATAAGGGGAATTATACTATAGCTCATTTGGAGAGAAACGGGTTGCAGAAAGCTGACCTCTTTCAGAAATTGGTAGGTTATGATTATGACTTGTCTGTTCACATGCTGGAAAGATGACTGTCTTTCCTCCCATCACTTGTATAGATTTTTCCTATCCCACTTAATATCTCTAAAAAGAAACCCAAAATGGGTATTGTAAGGTCTGTACTGTGTAATAAAAATAAACTGTTCAAATGTTGTTAATAATACCCATAACCGTTTAATGCCCATGCCATTCTCCATAGATTTTTCTAGGCTGGAATTCTTTATAACAAACCTGGCCCTTAAGTTGGATCTTGAAATGATCCATGTTTTGCCTCAGGATGAGAACTATCCCTTGACTCTCTGCTCCTTTTTAAAGTCTTGCTCCCATTTGAACAACAGATGGGAGTATTAAAAATAAGTGGTGCTGGTATACATGAATTATTTTCAGTCAAGATTTGTCACAGCCTATATGTGAAGCTAAATGTATGTGTACAAGCAAGTACACTATGTAACAAAAACGTAAGAAAAATCTGTTCCTGCTTTGAAAGTGTATTTTCTGTTTAATTACTTTGAAAGTAGTTATTAGACTCCAGAAACTTTGTATTTGTGGCTGCATATCCATAATACTCATTTTGGTAGATTTAAAGAGAACAGGGGTGCCTTTTCAGAGGAACAAGGAGAGCACTTTCATCTTTGGAGGCTTTTAAATAGAGGCTGGATGGCCATCTGTCGGTGGTGCTTTGAATGCAATTTTCCTACTTCTTGGCAGAGGGTTGGACTGGATGGCCCATGAGGTCTCTTCCAACTCTATGAGTCTATGATTATAAGACACCCCACCCAGTTTGAACATTGCTACCAGAGAAACAAGGGCCCCCGGTGATGCAGCGGATTAAACCACTGGGCTGTTCAACTTGCCGAACGAAAAGTTGGTGGTTCAAATCTGGGGAGTGGGGTGAGCTCCTTCTGTTTGCCCCAGCTTCTGCAAACCTAGCAGTTTGAAAACATGCAAATGTGAGTAGATCAACAGGTATAGCTTCTGCGGGAAGGTAACAGCGCTCCATGCTATCATGCTGGCCATACGAGCTTGGAGGTGTCTACAGACAATACCGGCTCTTTGGCTTAGAAATTGAGATGAGCACCATCACCCCAAAGTCGGACACAACTAGACTTAATGTCAAAGGAAAACCTTTACCTTTACCTTTTTACCAGAGAAACTATAATGATTTGGAGGAATACATTTGGGGACTAATCTGTGAAAGCCATCTGGCATACTCTTGCAAATCTACACATTTCTAGGCTCCTTTTCATCCTTTTGTAGCATTTAGGTCAAAATATATGGTGGGTTTGCTACATGTTGTTTTTTATCCTTCTACAACCAAAAATTTGTTATGTTCCTTAATGGAAATATGCTATTTCTTAACCTTTCAGTATGCAGGCTGCAAGAACAAAGTTTTTGTAGTTTCATGAACTTTTTCCATGTTTTTATAATAGAAGCAATTAGGAAATGACATTTATAATCCAGGAACAAAAATCATGTTACATAGTGTTACTATTTGAGGTGCCAGCTTCCAGGATCTTCCATCTGGTATGACCATTAGAAGTTTCTGAAAACTGTAGTCTATTATTACTCTTTCGACCACTTCTTCCGAACTTAATTATATACTTCGTAGCTTGGATAACTTGAGATGATTTGCTTATTGAACAGTTTAGAGGCCCTCTCTTGTACCATCCATTTTAATCCATACATAATCCTGTTTCTTTTTCCTTCATTCTATAGGCACTTGGAAGAAGCAACTTGAGCAAACCATTTGTAAGTACTTATTTTTTCTCCAGTTTATTCAAGTGTGATATGATGTATTTGGTGCTACTTAGGACTCATATTGTTATCTAATTTCAGCCTCCCAAACCAGAAGATCTCAGTCTGGTCTGCTTCACCAGTGGAACAACAGGTGGGTGGCTTGAAGCAATGCTATAAACATTGTCATTTGTTGGAAAGTTGTGGGGCAATTTTAGAGTTAATGGAACACATCGGATACTTCTAAGGTGAGAAACTCATAGCAAAAAATAGAACACATGATATATATTTTCTTCAAAATTAGTGTCATCATAACTTCATTGCTTTTAAACTTTGTTAGATTTTAGCTATTCTTGTAAGCCGCTCCGAGCCCCAGGGGAGTGGCGGCATATAAGTTTAAATAATAAATAAATAAATAAATAAATAAAATTATATTTATTGAAGCATGAAGGACACCATGAGTAGTTTGGTTCTTAGATGCCTAATTTCTGAAAGCCAGATCTCATCCTTTATAGGTGACCCGAAAGGAGCCTTGATAACACATGGGGCCGTTGTTGCCAATGCTGCTGCTTTCATGAAGAGCATAGAGGTAAGTTCCATGCTCACGTGTCAAGCTAACTATAGGCTGTATATCAGCCTATTTTAAAATACACATCTGATAATCAGACCTATTCGTAATAAAAATAGCAATAAAACTAACCCATTTAAATTAAACTGTCAAAATTAAGATATCAGTATATTAGTCAAACAGTGACATTGTGAGTAAAATTTCAAGCATTACATTTTCATTTGTACACAAAAAATAACACTACCAGTAGGGGTCTAACTAAGTAGTATTGTTTGGGTTTTCACTTTGTCCAATCATTTGATAGCATTTTTGCAAATTTCAGTTATTTTAGGACAATACAGCTGTATTTGTCCCATATCCTCTACAGCAGTATCTCAAACTGTGCTCCTACAGATGTTTTGGACTTCAGCTCCCACAATTCCTTACAGCTGGTAAGCCCGCTGGTATTTCTGGGAACTGAAGTCCAAAACACCTGGAGGAGCACAGTTTGAGAAACACTGCTCTACAGCATTTAAAAAAAATGTTTTCATGGATCTTACATAGCTTTAAGGGGTACAAATGTGTTATGACCCACCTCAACCCATGGGGAGAGCTGGATAAGAAATAAAATAATATTTTATAATAATCCCTAACACCAACTGCTGCTCTGAGGTCATAGAGAGAAGAGGGGGCAGCCAGGAAGACAGCTCCATCATGTCTTGTGCAACATCACTTGGGAGCCCATGGAGCCCCCAGTGGCACAGTGGGTTAAACCCCTGCGCCGGCAGGACTAAAGACCGACAGGTCGCAGGTTCGAATCCGGGGAGAGGCGGATGAGCTCCCTCTATCAGCTCTAGCTCCTCATATGGGGACATGAGAGAAGCCTCCCACAAGGATGATAAAAACATCAAATCATCTGGGCGTCCCCTGGGCAACGTCCTTGCAGACGGCCAATTCTCTCACACCAGAAGTGACTTGCAGTTTCTCAAGTCGCTCCTGACACGACAAAAAACAAAAAAACAAAACAAAACAAAAACAAAAAAACTTGGGAGCCCCTCAATACATACAGTTTAATAATAATGTAATGTAATAATACTAATAATATATAATATTAATAATGTTGTAAGAAAATATATTCTGGATTTTATACACTACAACTTATGATATAGTACAACTTATTATATAATACCAATAGTATAATATACCGGTAGTGTATTATATATATTGTGGTATGATAATATAGTACAATATAATAATATATAATGATATAATAATTGCATATTATGTATTATATATATTGCTAATACTATTGCAGTATAATGGTATAGTACAATATGATAATATATATAATACTAATATTGTGCTATGCTAACAATATAAGATATTATAGATACATATGTTAATAATAATATAATGTAATACAATATACTAATAATAATAATACAATATAATAATACTCATAAATATAATACTGATAATATATAATAATATATAATGATAATACTGTTATTGTATATTTGTATATTTTAAGTTGTGATGTTTTTTATTATGAACCACTTGGAGTCTCCATATGGAGAGATAAAGTGGGATATAAATAAATAAATGAGAAGAAATGCAATTGATGTGCACCATAATAGATGTTGATAGTGACCTATAAAGAAGGTCTTCCCTCTCTGTGTTCCTTACCAAATCTAGCTCCTGCTTTAGAGTGTTCATGAAGTTCACATATTAGGTACAATCAGTGTAGACACATAAGAGTGATTCAGTTAAATCTCCCCTTCTAAAAGAGAAGTAGTTGGCCTGCCCATCCAACTTATACAAATGGTACAAGTTTTCATTAATCTTGTACGGCAATGATATAATACCACTTGTTTCTTTTCTTCTAGATGACTTCTCCTTGCACGGCATCAGACATATCCATGTCATACCTTCCGCTGGCTCACATGTTTGAGAGAGTAGTGCAGGTAAATGACCTCTGAAGTTACCTTTGACCCCTGTGATTCTTCTTGGGGTCTCTACACCTGCATGTGCACGGCTATGAAGTAGGTAGTTTGCTATATTTCATGGACATATGCTGAAATGTTTACAGACCCAGTATATTGAGCTAGTGAACGGATAGTGTTCATTTTAGGCCTCCTTATACATCTGACCAACTATTAAGAAACTGGAAGCTTAATCTGACAAAATGACATACTCAACAAATACATTGTAAATAATGCAATAAGACATGGAAGAAATGAATTTCTCAAGTTGTTTCTGAAACTATTAGAACCACATGTGTAATGTGTAATGTGAAAGGGCACCTGGTGGTCTAATGTAAAGTATAGTATCTGGTGTAGCTAAAGGTTTTTGCTGTAGTAGCAACTGGAAAGCAGCAAGAAAAATAAATAAAATGCAAAGGAAGAATTTAGCGCACCTACTTCATCAACAAAACTATTAGCTGCCAGTTGATGAATGTTTAACTTAAATAAAGATCCAAAAAAGATCAGCTAAAATCAGGTTTTGTCTATTCTTACTCAGAATAGACAATAGATTTGGCAATACCTTGTCAATGATAAACATCTATGTCATCACAAAGGTCTTTAAGGGTCCAACTTGCAGCTGTCAATCATTGAGTACTGAATGATATAATGAAGGCAGTTCTGCTTACATTTCAGACTGTGCTCTACAGCAATGGAGGGAAAGTGGGATTCTTCCAAGGAGATATCAGACTTCTAACGGATGATATGAAAGTTTTGAAGCCAACAATTTTTCCAGTAGTGCCAAGGCTACTCAATAGGATCTATGACAAGGTAAAATATTGAGCTGTTATAAAGCTGTTGCCACTTTGATTCTGTCCATTGCTACACACATGGTAGCAGTTGCTTTCCCAGATAGATTTCACTTCCTAAAAATCTAGGTTTTGCAAGAATCTTTAACACCAGATTGCAATCTCATTAGCAAAGGCAATGGGGCAGTTCCATAATATGTTTGAGATGTGTTGCAGCTGTTTAATGTGCCAGCACAATATCTAGGATTGGACAAGGAAGCAGTGATATCAAAAATGTATATGAATAGATTTTTGTGGAAAATCATGAGAAGTCTAAAATAACTTTCATAATATTGTGTACAAATCTCTTGTAGATACAAAGTGGTGCTGACACACAGTTCAAGAAATGCTTGCTAAACATTGCTGTGGCTAGGAAGCATGCTGAAGTGAAACAGGGCATCCTACGAAATACCAGCATCTGGGACAAGCTAGTGTTCAAGAAAATCCAAGTATGTTTGTCCCTTTGCAATTTCCATCATGTGTACAGTAATGTGTACTGATGCTAAGAAGTAAACATGCTGGAGATAATAGTTTAACCATTTATTTGCTGTTTTAACAGGACATCATGGGTGGGAAAGTGCGGATAGTAGTCACCGGAGCTGCTCCAATATCTCCATCTGTTCTAAAATTCCTCAGAGCAGCATTTGGATGTCATGTAAGACTAAAGCTTGTATGCCTTCACCTCCAGAGCATTAGTTGACTTTCTGAGTCTGCTTGTTGATGCGTTGTCATCATCTTGCCCATTTGTTAAAATATCATGTGGATGAATGGATTTAACCAGGGTTGAAAGAGCTTCCAGTTCTGTTGGGAAACTACCTGATAAGCTGTGTAGATGATTACATAGGAAATACTGGAACCAGTGTGATGCCTGGATGATGATTACATAAACAAAAGAGCATTGATAAACATTAAGTGCTTTCTTTCATGCAGTTTTGTGGGAGTTTGTTGTTTGGCTGCTGCACTTTGAAAGTTGATTTGATCTATATTAAAAGGTCAGTGTAGCTGGGCCCTTATTCAGAAGTAGTTTGGCTCTGCTTTCCCGTTCAGTTGAGATGAGCATGACTTGTCCAAAGCCACACATCTGGTTTCTGTGGTTCGCTGGGATTTTGAACCTTTGTTTTCAGGAATACTACACCAGCACTCAAACCACTGAACAGGCAATTTCTCTAGCAACAGATATTCTCGTAGCTCGTGGGATTCTGGAGAATTTTCCATCCCTATATCATATGTTTTTATGTATGAGGTAGAGTGGGAATAGTTACAGGTTAAAGAACATGTTTAAGAACCCTTTTGAATAGGAAAAGTCTAATGAAATTATGTTGTTTGATGTAATGACTTGTGCTAGGAACAGCAAGACTGTCTCTTTTCAAGAGCTGCATCAAATCATGTATTTGTCTTCTTAACCAGGTTTTTGAAGCATATGGCCAGACAGAATGCACAGCTGGCTGTACTTTCTCATTGCCAGGAGACTGGAAAACAGGTATGAAGTGAAGTTCAGTCTGGAATTCAAATATTAGGAGGCAAGAAAATCAAAATCTTCACCAGTTACAAGAATCTAATCCTTTTTTTTTTTTTGGAGGGAGGAGAGGCTTTAGTTCTTTAACTCTACCCTGTTACTTTTTCACATAACTATTGTAAATTCTGCAGCAGTATTTTTTATTCTTCTTCTTTTTGATCCTGCAATTGACACTCCAGTTTCTTACCAATACGGTCCAGATGTGATTGAAGTTTTCATTTCCATTAGGGAGGCAGATGGAAGAGGCTGCTATAGGGCTATCTAAGTCTGTCCTCTGCAATATGGTGCTCCCTATAAAGTTTGCACTGCAATTCTAACAAACTCAGTCGCTCTGCATCCCCTTTGGGGTTGGGAAGGGCAGAATATAAACATGGCAAATAAATAAATAAATTGGACCAGTGGGTGTTATAGTCCAAAATATCTGGAAGTCATTGGGTTACATACTTCAGAAATACTGTTTTGGAAGAGATCCCATAACTGCTTTTTTATTTTATTTTATTTTATTTTATTTATGGCATTTCTAACCTGCCTTTCTCTACCTTGGAGGGGACTGAAGGCGGCTTACATGTAGGCAACCATACGAAGCCATAGGATATATATAATTACGGATATTTAAATAGAATTAAAATACATTAAAACAGTTCAAAAACATATAAAACAATGCATCAGCAGTTAACCATGTGATCCTTAAACATAATCCGCCCATTCCAGTTAGTTAGTGCACATCAATTCCATATCTATCTATTTCTCAAGTACTCCAAAGACTTGGTCACAAAGCCATGTTTTTACTTTCTTACGGAAGGTCAGGAGGGAGGGGACTGATCCGATGTCCCTGGGGAGGGAATTCAACAGCCAGAATTCTAATATGAAGTTAAAAAAGTTATTTTAGAACACAAAGTGTAGCGAAAAGGAATGGGTTGGGATAGCTGTAGCCATTCTTGCCCAATTTTCTTTTTACAAGTTTCTGTTCTGAACAAGTAATTGTCAATTATTGCACCAAGATCAAATGGATGATCCTGAGTCACCATTTTTCTCATAGGTCATGTTGGACCCCCCCTAGCCTGCAACATCATAAAACTTGAAGATGTTCCTGAAATGAACTACTTTGCATCAAACAATGAAGGGGAGGTAAGCATTCGTTTTTGCTACAACACTGTGTGAATTTGTTTAAAATTAGAAGATTAACATTCATTTTGTGTTCTTCCTTCTTTAGGTTTGCATTAAAGGGCCAAATGTATTCAAAGGTTACCTGAAGGATGACAAAAAAACAGCGGAAGCACTTGATAACAATGGGTGGCTTCATACTGGAGATATTGGGAAATGGCTGCCGGTAAGGGCTGAACATATCAAAAATCTTGTGGGCCGAATCTGAAAAACTTCCTTCCTTCAAAAAGAGAAGGGAGACCAATGTTCCTAAAATACATAGTGCTGGATATAAAAGGCAAAATCATATCAAGTGATTTTGCCTTCTAGGCTGAATTTTGGTCTATAGAAGTAAGCATGTCCTATGCAGACTTGAAGCCATAAAAATGTGTAATATCACTCCAAACTTGCACTAGCCAATTCTTTTTTAGCTGTTGCAGAACAGTGTAATATGCAAGCTATTAGGGCTGTGAAACCACGGAAAAAATTGTTTCTAAATTTGATTCGTTTTTAGGGGGTTTTTTGCGTTTCGTTATTTAAAAGAATTCCAAAATTTTTCTTTTAAAAAGTTCGATATTTACGAAATTTCGGAAATTACGAAACAATTTCAAAACAATAACGAATCGATTCGTTAATGGCGGACGCGATTGCGCAATACGCTAAAAAACCCTCCAAATGGGTCAGGGGGGACTTCTGAAGCTTCCCTCTCCCTCTGTTGTTGACTGTTGGTGTGATAATTTTTTTTATCACTGATAAAACAAACAAAGACTATAAAACTTGCACCAGACATACGGAAATAATAACAAAATAATAACGAAATAATAACGAAATAATTTCGAAACAATTACGAAACAATTTCGAAACAATTATGAAACGAATTGGAAAAATTCGTTTCGTTTTTTAGTTGCTCCTGAATGGTTCAATATCGCTTCATTATTAAAAAAACGAATTAATAACGAATTACGAAATTAACAAATGAAACCGCCCAGCCCTACAAGCTATAGTTGAAGAGTGGAATGTGAAACTGGTCTCAGAGAACTGACGTTGACACTTGGTTCCTAGCTTCTGGAATTACACGGTATATTAACAAAAACTATTGCACACAGCCACATAGTGGGTGGTAGGAGTTAGACTGCAGTCCATCCACCAGCAGATCACAGAATGCTTGTCATTGGGTAAGATTTTTCTAAAGAATGCTATACTGGACAAAGTTCTGCTTTAGCCATCATATTGATATATGCCACCAAGTCAGTTTTGACTTATGGTAACCCTCTGAATGGGAGACCTCCCAAGATCCCCAGGCATCAACTGCCTTGTTCAGGTCCTGCAAATTCAAGGCCATGGCTTGTTTGATTAACCCAATCCACCTGTAGTGTGGTTTCCAACTTTTATTATTGCCTTTCATTTTCCCAAGTATAATTACTACCTGTTAACGCCAAATCAGTACGCTTGCTTAGCAGATTTGTTTTGCCTTCACAGCTGAGAAACTGAAATATTTAATTCAGGCATACTGTATATAAGCCACAGGGATTTAAATAAAAAACCAAGGGTAAAGCTGGTTTACTTCTATTTAAAGACTTTAGCACTAGCTGCATGAAATCATTCTTAACCTTTATAGTAATTATGGAAGGTCTGCACATTTCCTGCACTCATCATTTGGGTTCTAAATTACAGAAGTGGAATCCCTCTGGTGATGATTGCAGCATTACTCGTACACCACACAATGACTAGTAGTATATAGATTAGGAGAGGGGGTAAGGACAATGTTGATATTGGGCCACATTCTGCTATACTAAGACTATATTTGTACACTGTAATATTTACAAAAAAAAAATCAGTTTTTCACAACCAACTGAAGACTTGTGATTTGAGGGGGGGGGGGGGCTTGGAGTAGCATGTGTAGCTGCTCCAAGCTGTTTAGGGAGTCCTGAGGCAACAAAAGAGGTCATTGGACTACAATACAGTTGCTTAGTCCTGTATTGGCAATAGTAAAATACTGGATGGTATTGAAAGCACCATAATGAGCAAAGACAGAAGGGCACAGAAGAGACTCCATCTTGTCTTCTGCCTGTATCATCACTTAGAGGCCTCGCC